TCTATCTATCTATCTATCTATCTATCTATCTATCTATCTATCTATCTTTCTTGGATAGATTCTCTGGACTCACGGTGGCGGCGGCGCCCTCTCTGGTGTAGGCGTACAGGGCGGGGTCATTCTGCAGGTGGATGGACACTAGCATCTCAGCAGAGCCTCCACGAAGCAGCTGGGGGGGCGGAGCCAATCAGAGGGTCAGAAGAAAGTCAGCAGAAGCTCAGAGGGTCAGAGGGTCATAGGCCGAACCTCACCTGATAAAACGAGTGGAAGTTCCTCTCCCCGTCCTGCTGCTGGACCACCCTGGACTGAGAAACAGGAGATTTTGGGGGGTTTTAGTCCATTTCTGATCATTTTCTGATCATTTGCTCCACATTCTGGTCATTTTGTGTCTAATTTTAGTAGTTTTTATTCAATTTCTGATCATTTTATGATGGTTTGCTCCACATTCTGGTCATTTTGTGTCTAATTTTAGTAGTGTTTAGTCCATTTCTGATCATTTTCTGATCGTTTGCTCCACATTCTGGTCATTTTGTATCTAATTTTAGTAGTTTTTTGTACATTTCTAATCATTTTCGAAAGGTTTGCTCCACATTCTGGTCATTTTGTGTCTAATTTTAATAGTTTTTAGTCAATTTCTGATCATTTTCTGATGGTTTGCTCCAGAGCAAACTGTGCTCTGTGGGGGGGGGGGGGCTCACCTTCTCCAGCAGGTAGTTGTTGATATGGCCCCCGGTGGGGTCGCCGTTGAAGTTGAAGTTGATGTCCATGTACTTCCCGAAGCGGCTGGAGTTATCGTTGCGGTTCGTCTTGGCATTGCCGAAGGCCTCCAGCACGCAGTTGGACTTCAGCAGCACGTTCTTCACACTGAGGGGGGGGGGGGGGCAAGGGGAGGGCAGGGGGTTAGTAGGACTGTTTAGTCTCCTGATTTTTCTTGTTCTGCTATGAGGATGCTGCATTTCTGCCTCTCTGTACCAGGATCCTTCATTTCTCTTTGACCTTTGACCTCAAGGTAAAGTCTAGTTATTAAACTTATCAGCTGCTACTGATCCACAGATCTGGAACAAAGCAGAAACCAAATAGAAGCTTTTGGCTCTCGCAATGTTAAGGTGGACGGCTGTGAGGAGCATTCCACCTTAAACAGGGCAGCGTCCATGAAGCCTCACCTCTCCACCTCTGCCCGCTGGCTGGGGTTTGTGATGGCTGCGATGTACTGCATGATGTATTTACTGGCCTCTGTTTTTCCTGCTCCGCTCTCCCCTAAAACACCCAGAACACAGAACGGCTTGAATCTCAGCTCAAAAAGCCGACATCTTTTCATCATTCAGTGTAAAATCAGCTCCAATTTTCAGAAGATTCTTCATCAAACTGAGCAGTGAGACACTTAAGCCTCAATTTGCCCTCTCAGGTTAAACTGAATCTGTTTTTGCTCTGAATTTAACCTGTTTCCAGCTCCTGAACTCATGTTTCCACTTCTGTCTGTAATACCTGCTGGAACAGAGCTCATTTAGTGGAATATTTAGATTTATTTGAGTAATTTATCTGATTCTGAAATCAATTTGTGGGATTATTTTAGCTTTCTGTGGAAAACTGACATCTTTTTGTATTAAATTACTTCATTTTAAATGAGGATAAATGTTTCTAAAATGACCCACAGCTCTGAGTTCCATCTTTTAGTCGACTGGTTCCAGCACATCAGCACAAAGTTTCCTTCATTTCTGGATGCTGGAACAGAGCTCATTTCCAGGAAATGAAGCCTCAATCTGGAGGAAAACCAGCAGAACTCTGAGGTCTCTGGACTCTAGTTTGGATCAGAGGCTCAGATGTTGATGTGTGATCACAGACAGGTTTCTGTCAGAGTTTAACCAGCAGAGCAGGAAGCATCCAGCTGCTTTTCAGACCCAAACAGACAGACCTGAGATGACGATGCAGGTGTCTTTGGCTCGTCTCTTCATGGCTTTGTAGGCAGCGTCCGACACGGCGTACAGGTGGGGGGGGTTCTCATACAGCTCCCGGCCCCGGTAGGCGTCCACAGTGTCTTTCCCATAAATATCCATCTGCTGGTAGGGGTTGACAGAGACCACCACCTCTCCGATGTAGGTGTAGATTCTTCCCTTCTCAAACCTAAACAGACCAAAAAAAGTCAATTTACTCTCCTGATTTACTGAGTTAAAATAAGAAGAAAATGTTTATACATCTAATTTGAAAAAATCCAAATCTATTTTTTGGGTTTTATGTACTCATTAAATATTTTGTTCAAAAGCCAAATAGAGACTTTAATTCAAATTTTACATCCATTATTTGTTGTTTCGGTGACACAAACTTCTTGAACATTCTTTGACGTTTTTGTATAATTTTTTCTGCAAAAAATGAAATAAAACTTCTGTTTAAAGATGATAAAATTCCCTTAATGGGGAAATTCACCCAATGTGTCATTTAATTGAAAGCGATCGTTCATTTCTGCCCAAACAGAGTGGGAGCTGAAGGCCTCAGATAGCATAGTCCTCCACACATGCAGATAAGAGGCAGGAAGTGACACCAGAGTTAGTACGCGGAGGCAGGAAGTGAAACTTGTGGTTCAGAAAGGGTGGCGCAGCCTTGTGCAAGCGGCTGTTGAGAAGCAGACTGAAGCTGGAACAGGGTTAAAGGGTTTGTATCTAAAGACTCAACGCTTAGCATGATGGTCCAGCCCAAATAATCTAACTTCTCCTCAATGTGCCTGAGTCTCTGGAAGCTCCTGAGTCCATTTTAAGGCCCAGAAACACAGATCCGTGCAGATGAAATGGTTAAATTTTGAGTGATGGAAGCAGGAAGTGACTCAATCTGATGAGCTCATTTTCTCTGGTGTCACGAAGCTTCAACTTTACATTAAATGCAGTGAAACTCCAATTCAATGTCATAAACCCACATGTTTTAACAATATGGAGGGATTCATTAAACCAAAGCAAACCCAGTAAAAAGCAGAGAATCGTTTTGCTGCTCTGTATTAATCCAAATCGAATACAACTCCAAACCACAGGGCGTAAAATCTTCTGTTCAGAGGGAAGTGTGAGCTTTGCAGGGAGGAAGTAAACAGCCACACATCAACCTCAAAGCTACACAGAGGACTTTGGAGGCTTTTTATTTCCAAGTTAAACAGAAAAGGAAAGTCTGCTTCCTCAGTCACTGTTTCCTCAGATCATTTAATTGTCATCACTTTTTATGGGATTTAAGATATGAAATGACCTCATAACAATGCTCAGAATAATCTATACAGCCCGCCTGTTAAATGGTTAGCTAATAGCTAACCTATTAGTTTGTGAGTTTGTTAATTAGTGAGATAAGACAGTAGGTAATCTATTAGCTAGCTAAACCAAAAGCTCGCCTGTTAACTTCCTAAGCTAATAACTAACATATTAGCAAGCGCAACTTATAGCTTGCATGTTAGCAAGCTGAACTAACATATGGTTTATTATTAGTGTGATAAGATAATAGCTAAACTATTAGATGGCTAAGCCAATAGCTTGCATATTAACTACCTAAGCTAATAGGCGACCTATTAGCGAGCTCAACTAATAGCTGGCCTATTAGCAGTCTAAGCTAGCAATAGATAGCATAGCATAGTTGAGAAACTATTAACCTTTCACTACAAATACAGACAGTAGTGATATGGAAATTTAATTATCAATTTAATTATAACTTGTGTGTGTGGTTTTATTCAAAGGCACAAATTGCATTCCACTTCTGCTCAATGAACGCAGTAAAACACATTCAAACTCTGCTACTCAGTCTAAAACTAAATGCTGTTGGTGGAACATAAAAAAATAGTCATTATGAGGCATCATCCTTTAACCCAGTCTCCGGTATTTTTAGTGTCTGTAGTGGTTCTCCCATCCAGCAGACATGTCAAAAAAAGACTTGAATAAATATCTTACAAGACATTTTTTTCCTGAGCAAAGTTCAAACAAACGAGGTCAGAGGAAGTTCACATGAATATGTAAATTCCCTGTGAATTCCATCAAAAACTACCTCAGGAGGTCGGTTCTCACAAAAGCTCCTGCAGTCAAAGTGTCAGCTCGCTCTAAATAAAACAATGAATAAGGTTAATAGGAGACATTTCTCTGGGATGCTGATGGATTTCTACTTCTGCCTCCTGCCTGACGCCCATAACAGTGACAGTGATGTTTAAAGCAGGTTAACTCTTGGACCCAAAGTGATTTGAACTCTACTGGGTTTAACGACAGCTCATATCTGGGAGGCCCACGTCTTTCAGCACAGTTTAGCACCCGAGAGTCCGACCACAGTTTTTTTTAGCTGGAATAATTGACAACCAAGCTAAACTTGGATGCGGTGACGTTTCACAGCAGCCGAGTGTGTCTCTGTGGGCTGAAAATGACTTAAAAAAAGTGCTCAGAGCTGCTGCTTAGGTCCAGAGGCTGAATCAGGCCTCCTGGGGCCCTCTTGGGGGGCTCGTGGTGGCCTTACTGAGGGCCTCCCTGGGGGCCCTCATTTGGGCCAATCTTGGCCCTTACTGTGGCCCTCTGAGGGCCCTCCTGGGGCCTTACTGTGGCCCTCCTGGGGGCTTTACTGTGGCCCTCCCTGGTCCCCTCTGGGGCCTCCTCAGGAAGCCCCTCCACCCCAGGCTCTGGCCCTTACTGGGGGGTCCTATGGGGGGCCAATTTGGGCCCTTACTGTGGCCCTCTGGGGACCCTCCTGGGGCCTTACTGTGGCCCTCCTGGGGGCTTTACTGTGGCCCTCCCTGAGCCACTCTGGGGCATCCTCAGGAACCCCCTCCACCCCAGGCTCTGGGCCTTCCTGGGGGCCTTACTGGGGGGTCCTATGGGGGGCCAATCTGGGCCCTTACTGTGGCCCTCTGGGGCCTCCTCAGGAAACCCCTCCACCCCAGGCTCTGGGCCCAACTTGGTTACTGAGGCCTTACTGGGGGGCCCTTGGGGGCCATCCTGGGGCCTTACTGTGGCCCTCCCTGGGGCCTCCTGGGCTCTTCTAGGGCCTCCTCAGGAACCCCCTCGACCCCAGGCTCTGGCCCTTTCTGGGGGCCCTTTCGGGGGCCTCCCCCTCCCTCTGGAAGCCCCTCCCCTCCACCCCAGGCTGTGGGCCTGGGCTGCCTCTGGGCTGACAGAGGAAGTGAGAGCAGGCTGTGTGATGATGGCATCAACCACAGCTTCTGGGGCTTCTCTGGCGGGAACAGCACAATGACTCACGCTAGTTCCACCACGTTCGCTCGTGTTTCAGCCTGCCGCACCCGGCAGGAACCCTCGTTCTCCGGTCTGAAGCCCAGAAACCCTCCTTCTGCCGACACACCTCCAGCCTGAACCCGCCCGGACTCGTCAGTCCTGCCTCAGCCGAGCCACAAAACTGAGCCCAAGCTCCCCTCATTCCAGATGGGAGGCTAAACTCTGACCCCACCCGGGCCCCCCCACGCCTCACCTCAGCTTCAGGTTCTCCATGAACTGCTCCATGGTCACCTCGTCCAGCAGCACAAAGTCGGACTTGCCGAACTCCAGCCCCTCCAGCTCGGCCATGGTTGCCTGCTCTGAGGAGCTCAGACGCCGCTCAGGGGAAAGAGAAGTGTGGCGGCCTGCCGGCACCCAG